AAAGTACTCGAAAAAACTTTTTCTCTTATTTGCTTGTTGCCCCAAGATTTTAGTTTCAGATAACGAAAACCGCAGGTCTCCAACATCTTCCAGTGCAAAGTTATTAGACATACAATGGCTGGCCTTCTTTTTTGAAATGAATAGTAGTCAGTGTCTTCATTAAAATTTATAAATACTCGAAATAAGTAGACATGGTTAAAATTCATGTCTTTCTATTATCTCGTCATTTGTTTGTACGAATTTTATTATACCTTTTGATAGTGCACGAAGAAAAATTTTATTTATTTTTGTATTCGACAATAAATATTTGACTAAAACTGATGTATATCTTTTTATTTTTTAGTGCTGTTTCAACAAAAAATATTTATATATGTGATGATGGTCGCGTACTGTTAGATAATTTTTCTCATTGTATTTCATTAATATCTGATGGTAAATTACGACGTCAAATTTATGATTTTGATGATGATTTGAAAGATGAAATATTATACTTGGCGCCTGAAATTATATTTCAAGTAAATCATGAACACAAAAACGTTAAAATTAAATAATGATATTTTTTTGTTTAGAGTGCTGATGGATACAATATGAAAAGTGATATTTATAGTTTGGGTATTACAGCGTGTGAATTGGCTAATGGTACACATAGTTATGCTAATTTAGATTATACTAATGTATTTATAAAATAAATGAATGAAGAAAATTTTAAATTTGACATGTTTGTTGTTTTTTCAGATATTGTTAATCAAAGTTCAAGGTGTTCAACCCTATTTATTAGATCAAACACAACTTTCTACTGAAAGTGAGAGAAATATGCCCATTGTATGCACTAGTAATGAATATATTTTTAAATTTGGTTTAGTACTTGAACAACCAGATAAACATAATGAACCATTTATAAATGAAATAAAAAAGCGACGTTATTCAAAAGATTTTCATTCATTTGTGTCATGTTGTGTGGCTACACATTTGAATTATAGGTATGTTATTCGTTCACCATTAATACACATTTTAATTTTCTTATTTTAGATGTTCTGTGGATGAATTACAAACTCATTCGTTTATGAAACAGGCGAAAAAAATGTCGAATGATCTACATCATTTTGTAGATGAAATAACTAAAATAACAGGCTCTCAATTAGAACAACAACGATCACAAAACAATGATAATATACAATTAATTGGTGACATTTTTGGTATGTATTGTATATAAGAAGTGAAGATTAATTACATAACTATTTTATTATTTCTAAAGGCAATATGGATCATTCAAATAAAGAACATACACCTACGTGGGAATTTTAGATTCAAATGTTATATCATTCAATTTATGAACGTACTTCAAAGAAAAATGAATAGAACGATATTGTTTGTTTGTTTTTTTCATTTTTTATTTTACTGTTGTACATACACATTGTTTCGCTCTTACTTTCATTAGAAAGCATAGTTCTTTTTTTGATCGATTGACTTTCATTGTACGTGCAAATATTTTATTTCTGTGTTATGAAATTATGTAAAAATATTTAACAATCGAAAATATTAGATTTTAACTATGAACAATCTTTTTCTTAAAATAAAAACAAATTAATTCATTAATATCATATTTTCACTATTTTTAGATAACTGATAAAAATCATGACAAGTCTCTTAAAAGTTGACAAAGTCAAATATCAATGTAGTTGTGGCACATTTAAGCCATTATGTTATTTATATTTTTGTCGACATTGTTTAAAAGTGAAATGTAAAGAATGTGTTATATTAGAGGTAATTAATTAGATATGTTTTATTTTTTTTTGGTGTAATTCAAGTATCTTAATATTTGAACTATCTCATACTTAAAGGTTGATTGCCGCTTTTGTCCAAGTTGTTATGAAAATTTACAACCACATGAAGCTATTAATCGTAAAAATCGTTGTCAACAATGTTTTAATTGTCCATGTTGTGGTCATACACTCGTTACACGTGCAACAAATACAGCATCATTGTCGGCAAATACTTCAGCAACGGTTACAGATCTTGATGAAAGTAGTTTATCGAGTACAAGTGTAATGTCTGGTCAAGCAACACCAAGTAAAAAAGTTTACTATTTGGCATGTGGTTTTTGTCGTTGGTCAACACGTGATATTAATTTGAACGATCAATTAACTATTAATTCATGGAAACAACAAGATAATATTCATGAACAACGTTTTCAAGAGTTATTATTGTATTATAAACAAATAGCGAACAAAGAAAAATTAGAAAAAGATCGAAAAAAATATACAACATCAAAAGGTGGATTGTTGTTACGTACATCAAGTAAAACGGATAAATATGGTTTATTAACACCATTGACCCGAAGAAGTATTGGACTTCGTACAACAACACCGACTTCGTCGACTACATCATTAAGAGCAACAAAGTTCGTCTTTTTTTTTTTTTCTATTTACTCTGGAAATGGATAAGTTCAAGTTTAAAATCGAGAAATCTTTTGTGAGACTTGAACTGAGAAGTAGTCGGACTATTCCATCTTTGTATTTGTCTATTGTAAAAATGTTAGAATAAAATATTTAGTTTCTTTATACAATTTGTGATTTAATATTTTCTTTCGTTTTTTTGCTTAAAATAGTACAGCGAAGCCAGTCGATTCATCCACAATACAACCGAAACAATCTACAGCTCTTGAAACAATTACTCCATTGGAAGACACATTTTTTAATCTTGATCTATCTAAAATGACAACAATGAAACAACGTTTATCATCGGTTGAGATTCAACCGGTCTATACCGATGGTTTATATCCAATATCGAAACATTTTACGTCAAAACAATCAAAACGTTGTAAAGAATGTGATCATAATGTTTTAAAACCGGAACCAAGTCCGAAAGTGATTAAATTTAAACTTCATCAAATGGCCATGTTTTTTATACCTGATATTCGAATATGGTATCATCCAACATGGGATAGTAACAGAGAAAATGTTTGTGTCTTATCGATTGTTAATCAATCCGACGAACAAATAACACTGAAATTAATGACAATTGATGATATACTTAAAAATGGTTCATCAACAGGTATCGATGAAATTAAAGTAGATGAAAAGTTATTAACAGCTAAACTTGATTTTTCCGGTGGTAATGATACAAATAAGGAAAAAATTGTACAATTACATGCACATATCGATATGAATGAAACGGATTCAAAATACGATAATGAATTTAGAGAAAATGATGATAAACAATTTGTTATATGGAGAAAATTCGCTAAAATAGCTATCAAGTGTACTGTTAAACCTCACAACGAAAATGTTAAAAATATTATCGTAAGTTTTGTTTTTGATTTGACGCTCGCTCGTAGACCTGATACACATAGACATAATAAGACATGTGTAGTCAAAGATGTTGAGTGACTATGTAGGAGAGAGAAAAAAAGAGATGCCTACGATAATCTTTGACTTTTCGATTAGTTCATTGATGATATTTTATTTCAGGCTGGATTTGTTATGGAACATCGTGTTGTTGGTATATCATCTGTTCAAACATCTATACAACCTGCACAACCAGAACAAAATAGTAAAATAATTCGTCATTTAGTTACTATTGATTTTGGTTCTATAGATGAACCAGCATTAACATTACATTCATCGTTAAAAGAAGGTCTGTGAAAATGATGATCAAATTAAATTTATTTTTTATTCTTAAATATCAAACTAGTTTGTAAAGATTATACAAAAAAGTTTAACGATATTTTAGTTTTATTTTGTATGATCTTTTCGAATTGGTCTAACATTCAAGAATGAAAGATACAAATTAAGCTCCGGCCATGATAAATTGAACTGGAAATAAAAGTTTTCAAAGTAAGTTTGATAAGGCAACCTCTCTCGAATAACCCATAAATTTTAACCTCATACATTAACAATGACTTTTTGGTGAAATGCACTTGTTTTTTACTCTGTTGGATAAAAGTCTAATTTGTTTATCCTTTTTATTATTGGTGCAATGGCATTTGGCTAGTGTTTGTAAAACATTTTTTTGTATATTTTTTGTTATGACTAAAATATATAATAGGAAAAAGGGTACGTGATCTGACGACAAGAATTATGTGAAAAGGATAAAAATCCATAATCGAAA